TCCATGCATGTATTTTCTTTCTTTTCCCAAGCCAGTTGGTCTGATTGCTCTCCTTGCAGGAGGGTTTTATTCTTTGAGAACAAAGGTTGAAACTGAAAGAGTCATTTTGGGTGACTTCCTGTAATACACATTCTCGGACACCAAAAACCCCATCATTAACTAAGTACCGTAACAGCTTTCTGAGGTGGGGAAGTAGAGATATCCCTCCTCTTAAAAAATGGGGAACTTGAACAAATTGCACGGATGGAAATACCGTGTCTCTGTTAGATTGTCTTGCTAGAAAATCCTCTCCCTTGATTCCTCTGCAGCCTCTCAACCAGTGAGAAAGCTGGGCTAGGCTAAAGCACCCAATGGGTCTTGCCAGTTTTTGATGCCTGGCTTGGAGGAGCTCCAACCACCAGCTCAATGGAGCTGACACAAGGCCATGCAGTATCTTTTCTTCAGTCAACCAACGTGGTAAGCCTGTTTTCTTTGCCCCACAGAGTTTTAGCAGTGGCGATGAAGTGAGTGTGGAAGTGACAGTTCCTCCTTTTACCTTCGAAACCATCTAACGGGTCAAAAATAGCCATTTGGGCTACGTGATTTCAGGTTATATGATGTGCCATTTGTCAGCTAACTTTGACACAACTGCTTGGTGGGGTTTTTTGCAATTGTCATAGGTTTGTGCCAGAACTGCCTGGAAAAGCAATTGGTTGGGTTTTTATTCTTGGTAGGTGGTTGAAGTGGTACAGAAAACCCGACAACCAAACAGCACCAGTGTTAGCACCACGAGAGTGGTATTTCTAAAGGGTGCCCATAGGTGCTTTCCAGCCAGTCTTCACCAGGTAGTTTTTTACCCAGTCACAATGTGGTTATCAAGCGGGATGATGACAGGCAGCCGCATCCTTCATTCTGTGCCCTGAGAGAGGAAGAGAACTTGTTGACAATCCAATGCTGCGTGGTCCAACACCAGCGATAGGACTAGTAGCCATTTAGCTTCAGCATGAGCAGAACAGCTCTCATTAAGGTCTGAATTTGGCTAGATACTTCTAAATGCAAAGCTGTTGCTAAGGTAGCGCAACCCACAGAGACAAGGAAGAAACAGTTTAGTCCTCCAACTCTGATGCTCTCCAGTGTGGGATTTGTTCCCTGTTCAGACTCCTGCAGTTTTGTTTCTCAATGCCTTCCCGAACTGTTTCCATAGTCCTTTAGATCAGGACATTGAGGACACATCTTGCTGACATACTGTTTGCCTGGAGAACCCGGATGGGTTCATGTTGGGTTCAAGTCCAGGTCATGGTGGTTTGCACTGATCAGTGTTGACAGGGGTGCAGGCAGCAGGTTTGGGAAGGGCAGGGGAACAGCTCCTGAGGATGCAGGCCTGCAGGAAGGAAGAGAGATTAAAAAACAACAAAAGAAAAGAAGCAAGCAAAGGATTTATGAAAATCTGTGCTGAAGTACGATGAAATTAGCAGCTGGCTTTGTCAGAGCAGCCAGGAGCATTTTTGCAGAGCGATCTGTCTGGGAAGAGCCAGCATGTGAACTATGGAAGGAGATAACGGTGTTGTGGTGTTGGGTTTGGTTTTTTTCTGTTCTTCCCTGGAGTGGAATTTTTGGATATTATGTTTTGCCACAAAAGGTTGGAAAGAGAAGATCAAAATGATGAAACGTCCCGATATAAAAAGGCAGGGAAAGCTGGTTTTCCAGCCTGACTTCGACACTGGCTCACAGTCCTGTCCTGGGCAGCTCATCAAACCTCTCTCGGCTTCCTTCTCTATGACCATTACAATGCCGTCTTCCAGGGGTAAGCATTAGGTAGACTTTCAGATTTGCAATTATTTGAGATCCTCTTTGGGGAAACACAGGGTAATTTTATTTTTTTGTCCCTTAAGCGCTAAGAAAAGTGCCAAGCAATGTGTTGTGGTGGGGAGCAAGTTTAATAAAGAAGGTCTGTAGCATCCTTCGCCGTTCGGATGTTTGTAATGCAACACTCGCAGGAATGGATGAGACCCACAGCCAAGACTTGTGAAGCTGAGTTGCTCTGAGATGGAGCTGCTGAGCATTGTGTGCCCAGTGTGCTCTGCTGAGCTGAGCAAACCCCAAGTGGGGATTACTGAAGTAAAAGATGGGCTTTCCTTCTGCATCACCCTGCATTTGCATTTGGAGATGTCACTGTCCTCTTCACATTCTCTCTCCTCTCTCTTGTTTGACACTGATGTCCTCTCTTCTAAACCCATCTCTCTCTATCCCCCTACAAGATGTTAATGTTCCCCAAGCAGGCAGCGGAGAGGCTCTGAAATGGTCTCTGACATTTAGTGAAGTAAACAGAAATGGCTGTTGAAGTATTCTCTCACTGCTCCAACTGGCTTGGCATTAAAAATCAGCACTGCTCAGGAACAGAAACTGTCCTGTCCTGCGGTTTCTAAGCCTCACACTTCAAGTGCAAGCTGCTTAACATATTTATACTCAGGAAAGCAGTGGGCAGTCACCAGCCATCGGAGCTCCAGCAGCATCTCTGCTTCACGTTAAGCAAACCTTGCATTTTACAAACATATCAGCCGGGCATCACCTACTGCCTGTCTGTCTCCTGTCAGAGAGACATTATTCCTATTCAGCTCCATCGTGTACAGCCTGCTGCAGGGTACATGGAGGCTTTGCTGATAGAGCCTGGCAGGTAGCAGCGTCTGACTCTGAATCAGTCAGAGCTTCAGTTCCCCGGCAACTGAATTCCTGCCACAGTGGTGATATGAGTGCATCAGCCCAGGCCTTTCCTGTGCTGTTTTCAGATGAGTCTGCCCTTGGCTGGGGTTTAGTGGCTTTTTTGTCTGCTTCCCTTCTCAGACTTTGGATAACCCCACTCCTTGTGTTCTCTTTCTGATGCTGCAAGTGCCCTCCAATGGGTTAGTCATGTGTTTTCACTAGAAAAAGTACATAGCAAGCCCACAGTTGGGACAGTATTGACTTGGTTGACCGAATTCGCTTGTTCTGCTCATGGCTTTGGGGAAGTCTCTTGCGACGTGGATGGGTGGATGAGAGAAAGAGCTTCAGACTTGTCATTCCCAATGTATGCAGCATTGGTCCTCTGCATTACTGATGTATCTGGGTACAGCTGCTCCGTGTGGGATGGAGCACTTGTTTCGTACTGGAGGGCTGGGAGGTGGAGGGATGGTGCAGACAGTGGCATGGCATCACCAGCTGAGTGTGGCCATGGGGTAGACAAGGTTTGGGCTGTCCTGTCAGCATCTCTGGGCAGTGACGTGGGTTCAGCTACTGCTGGGTCTGTCTGGCCATAGAGTCTGCTGGATCTCATGGAGGGGAGATGTGCACACTCTGCTTGTGCTGGCTCACTCATGCATGTGAGCTGTAAAAACCTCAGGAAGGGGATCCCTCAGGCTCTGAAATGAAAACACCATGCTGGTTCCTGGGTGAGGCCCCACGTTTGAAATCAAGCCCTGCTGCAATATATGACCCATATAGAATAAGGGAACAAAGGAAAGGCTGCTGACAGCTTTAAATGTTCCCATGGCTTCCATCTGCATCAAGTTATCAGCAGTCCCATGTGCCATGGGTTCATGATGCTCTCTGTGGTGAGCATTCAGCAGCAGCACTGGCTTTGCCATTGTGCTTAGAGCAGACACCAGTGCCTGGTGTTCAGTAAAATGGCTTTGAGGACCTTGAGGAAGTATTTGGTGTAGGACTTTGTAAGTCTAGATGGAGGCGCGTGTGCATATGCGTTTTTTCTTGCTTTAGGTGTTTGTGTCATGGAAATATTTTATACCACTTGCATCTGTATTGTCAGTGCTGAGGAGCTGGTTGAGGGATTCTGCATCTTTTCATCTGTAGTTTAAATCAGTCCTGTGTCAGGATGGACAAGTGAAAAGCGGGTTGAATGAGGAATTTTTGCACACCACTGGTTTGTAGCAGGCAGGGGAAGGAAAGGTTTGAATATGCCACATATGCATATTATAAAGAAAAAAGTTTAGCTACTTATTTGAAAGTTGTTATAAAACATATCAGTTTTAATTTTAAAATCCTGGCTCCTGAGAGCCAATAACAAAAAATTGAAAAGGGGTGAAACTAAGAGAGAAAGGGAACACATTTTTTTTTCAGTGCGGCTTTTGTATAATTGTATCTTAAACAAATGGAGGATGACCATCAAACTGCTCTGTTAGTGTTCACAAAACTTGTACTGGACAGTTCTTGGCTTGGAAGCATTTAGGCATCAATTGAACTTGTGAGGTAAGTTGGGCACTGTGGCTGCTGCGGGAGGAGCTGGCAGGGATCAGCTGTAATCGCTTTTCGGATCTGAGCAGTTCAGATTTTTTACATTCTTTGTTTCTCTGTCCCTGGCTGGTTTGAGTTTTACATAAAGCACGTGTGTTCTGAATGGCGCTCTTCCTCAGCAGCAAATCTGCCTGTGGGGCTGATACCCAGGGAGAGAGAAGAGGCATGGGATGGCCAACCAGGCTGGAGGGGAAAGAGTGCTCAGTGGCTTTCTGAACCAAAGTGCCCTGAAGTCAGTGGGAAGAACTTTTTCCATGCGAAAAATGTATTCATGGTTTATGCTGATGCCGCCATCTGCCCTGAACCACTTTCCCTGCATGCACACACTCTGGTGTCCATTTTTCAGCAGCATCAGCAGGGGAGGGGAGGTCTCACCTGCCTTTACCTTGCTCCGAAACTGCTACTTACATAGATTGAGCAGCATCCCTGGTGCCAGGAGCTGTTGTTTGGGAGCCTGTGCAGGGACACAGCTTTGCTCCTCAAATCTTTGCCTGTAGTGCAGCACGGGATGCAAAGCAAAAATCCTTCGCCTGCTACATCACAGTGTCAGAGCGGGGACACCTGAAGCACAGGCTGTTGGGAAAGAGCAAGAGTGGAGTGAGAAGGGAAAAGGCCTTCACATCTTGAGCCATCCAGCCACACATTTGGTCTTGAAGCTGAAGCTCTTCTTTTCTTCACCCTATCTTTTTAAATACAATGCTTTATCCCTGGTTCACAGCAGTTGCTTTCTGCTGCAGGCTACCGAGAAGGGTTTCTGTGGAAGAGAGGACGCGACAACGGGCAATTCTTAAGCCGAAAATTCGTGTTATCAGAGAGGGAAGGTGCACTGAAGTACTTCAACAAAAATGACGTGAGTACCTGGGGTTGCTGTGTGCAGGGAGGGGATCACAACTGTAAGAGCATCTTTGAACAAGTAATTCTGAGGCCACTATTTTATTTATGCAGTTCTCCTAATAACTGAGTCCCCATTTGCTCCAGGACGAGGGCACAGCTCACTGCTCACTTTAGTAGGGTTTGCTCTTGGGCTCCCACAGTCACGGTGAGACACCCGAACCGGCAATTGTACGTGTCCCTGCTCTGTTGCCCTTTAAAGTTGATAAGGCTTTTCTGAAGCCACCAGCAAAGGAGTTCCCTCAGCTCTGTCTCTGCATCCTCCAGCTGACATGGGTTTCGTATTTATGGTTAGATTGTGATGAAAGTATCACCCCCTCTCAGTGGTAGCTGAGGTCTGAAACCTCCTTTGCTTGGCATGGCAAGCAGTCCAGAGGAAAAGCTCCCTGGTTTTCTCTTCCAGCATCAAGCAGTGTGAAAGCATTTGTCTTCTTCCCTAGAGCACCTTTCATTTACTGCAAGTGAGAAATGGAGCTATTACCATGAAAATTGCATTTGTGATGAATGGATAGACACTCTACTGCTCTGCACCACGTAATGGAGGAAGGCAGGGTGTTTTCCCTGACCTGTGGGTCTGCTGGGAATATCACAGCTGGGAGCAGACCAGACTGAGCCACCAGCCAGTTTTCTCAGGTAGTTGATGCAGTCATAGTGCCGTGATGAGCCACCCCATGCAGAGGAGGAGCATCCATCCACTCTTCTGCACGCTTGGCAGCCAGCTTCAATAGCACTTTCTTCTCCTTCAGCCTGGCGTGGTATGGTGCAATGGCATCTTGAGGACAGGAAACAGCCAGTCATTACAGAGAGAGAAGTGAAAGTCCCATTTAGTGGCTGTTGATGGCTTCAGGAGTTTAAAGCTGCTTTGCTTTGTTGTTGACCATAACCATGGTGGAAATGGCAATGTCCAGACCCATCCTCTTTGCTGGGACTTCCCCAGGGTCACCCACAATGGCTGTTTGTCCACGGCAAGTCCCCAGGTTTCCAAAAGAGCAGTAGCATCTCTGCCAGCTCAGGGACTTCTGCTTGGTGCTGGGGACCATTGCACTGCTGCACCATCTTCTCTTGTCCCCTGGCTGTGCCCTAAATCCGGTGGTACAAAGAGCCTAATCTTCATTTTTGGGGATGTTTTATTCTTGCTTGCTAGTTCACTTCTCAGTGCAGTCCTGAAAGGGTGGTAAACTAGGGATGCCTTGTAGGAAGACCAAGTGCACTGCAAAGTTCAAGGGAACTGCCACAGACGGTGCAGGTGGTTTTGGTGTCTGGGAGGGCCTGGTCTAGGCTCACCGTTGGGCTAACCCACCCAAGAGGTGGGCTATAAGGTATGTATTTGTCCCGCTGAAAAGAAAGTTCACAGTTTGGAGGGCAAAAGGACGGGCAGAGTCAGAAGCCAATGCCTCGTGTGAGAGGATAGGACTAGGGGGTGTGAGCATGATGCCCCCTGCCAGCCTAGCACCCAGGTCTGAAGTTGGCAGTGGGGATAATCCTCCATCTTCTTGGGAAAGATGAACTGGGTGTGGGTGCTTGAGATGCAGAGAGCAGCCTGGCCTATTAATTAGCAGTGTGTGTGTCTGGCTGAATGGTTTTCTTTCTTCTTTGGCAGTGCTCATCCCAGAGTAAATGCTGGTCACTTATCATTAGGTAAAGGGTCTGGAGAGATTAGGAGTCAGGAGACAGCTGAACAGAGGCATGGTGAAGATGCTTGTCTTTATAGCACAACATCTAGTAATGAGAACTGGTCTGTCCATCTTGCTGCTGGGCTGAAACCTTCCTCCCCTTGAACTCCACTGGATTTTGCAGGAGAACAGAACGTTTTTCCAAGCTGGTAGAAAGCACTCGCTGACACGCGAGCAAAGGCGTTGATATCTCATCAATGGGCAGTTTTGTGGGCTGGGAGTCATCTATTTTTTTTTTAGCTAATGTCCTCAGTCAGGGATTTTCTGACCAAGTGAACTGCTTTCTGGTTTGAAAGCCAGTTCTCAGGTGTTTGCTCACTCAGCTGTGTTTTCCAGGCGAAGGAACCCAAAGCAATTATGAAGATCGAACATCTAAATGCAACTTTCCAGCCTGCAAAAATCGGGAACCCACACGGACTGCAGATCACTTACTTGAAGGACAATAGCACAAGGAACATCTTTGTCTATCATGAAGATGGCAAGGTGAGAGCAGGGAGGTAACAAGGAGGGCTGGGTTGTGGTCCTGGGGGTTGATGCTGAGGTGCCAGCCCTCCTGAAGGCATTTGCAGTAGATGCCATCTCACAGCCTTAATTTTCAGCTCTTTCTTCCCTCTGCTGAATATTTGGGAGCTCTCATAAAATACCATCCATCGGCCCTGGAGCGTCCACAAAATCAGCGCCTAAAGCTGTCGTGTTCGCATCGCACCTACTTTCCTCTGGCTGTCACGGTGCCTCCAGCCTTTTTGGTACATCCCCTTCAGCACCCTGCCTGTCAAAGAGGCTTTGTGGGGACAATCCCTCCTAGACTGCAGGGCAGGGCTTTGCGGGATTGTCTCAGTGCACAGCCTGTTCCCAGCTGCTCACCCAGGCGCAGCAAGCCAGGCAGCCCTGCTGGGGATAAGCAGTATGTGCTCAAAGCAGTCGCTGCTCTCCAGCCTGTATAGGTCAGTAATGCCACCAGAACACTCTTCACTTGTGGATGAGCAAAGCTGATCTCACCTGTGTTACTGCTGAGGCTCTGGCTGCTGTGGAGCCAGATGCTGCCTGTTGTGCTCACAGGCTGAATGTGGCTCCTGTGTAGTGCAGGTGCTCCTGGCAGGAAGCAGTTAGTGCATCAGGATGTGTTAATTAGTTGCATGGAATGGTTTTGTACATGTAGATAAATGTGCATGTAATACGCGTGTGTGTGCATGCATATATGCATATAAGACACATAATAGATGGTCAGCCTGGCTGGCCTCTCACACTCTGCAGCACCGCAGGGTCTCGCTCCGTCTGTTTGTAGGTCCTGGAGAGCTGTTCCAGCAGGAAGATGTGTCTTGGGCTCTGACCATTTTAAAGGATGCTGTTGTGGTCCCTTGTTAGCACTTACCCACCACCAGAGCCAGGCAGGGTGAAGCTGAGGCACCTGCTGAACTGGTGCTTCTTGCTGGGGCTGTCCCTCCTGTGGGACATCGGTGATGGGATGGCAGCAGCTCACTGCAGCACCCAGATCTGCGTCTGGACGTGGGAGGCAGGAAAGCTGCAGAAGTGGGTTTCCGTGCTCCGAGCTCCTATCCAGGGCTGAAGCTCCCTCTGCAGGACCTCTAGCAGTCATGGCTGGAGCAGCTCAGGGAGCTGCAGTGAGCTGCTGCCATCCCATCACCGATGGGATGCTCGAAGATGGGCTGTCTCCAGGAAAGGCCAGCCTTTAGGGTGCGAACCAAGATCTTTGGATGTTCTCTGGATAAATTAGCAAAATGCTTTTCCCCAGTGCTCTTCCTTTCCTGAGCCACACCAGGAGCTTCCAGGATGGGAGGAGGGGGCATGACGGAGTGAGGAGCAGCAGCAAGCAGGCTCATTGCTTGAGCTCCAGGGTTGGATGAGCTGGAGGTACAGTGAGAAGTAGTTGCGTTTTTATCCGGGGTTGTCAGTCTGAGACTACCATGGCAATGTGGGTGGCTCTGGTACAGGATGGAAAGACACCAAGGTGGCACATGGAGGGGGGTGTCTGTGGTGGCATTGCAAGCAGAGCAGAAGGAAGCTGAGAGCCTAGAAAAGCCATTTGCAAAGGTGCAGGGCAGGAGTTCATTTTCTCTTCTTGCTGTGGGGCATAACTTGGAGAAAGGAATCTCCACTAATGAGCTGATGAGACATCACCTTCCCATCTGAAAACACTGAGCAGTTCAACATCGGTTTAATACACCAGATATGATCTCCTCACTCCATCTGTGGCATTGTTTGTAAGTATACAGGCAGGAGAAGTTTAGCAACTGAGCCCTCTGGCTTTGCGTACCCAGGTATAGGGTTGTGTAAAGAAAGGTGGTGGTGTTGCTTCCTCCAGCAGTGGATGATCAATATTCTGAGAAGCAGTCATCTACTGGAAGCCAGTGAGGGTTTCAGCTTCTGCTTTTCTGCAGGATGAAACCCTATCTCACATCACAATCAAGGAGGAGACCAGCACGTATATATATATGTATATATATATATAGTTTTCATAGTTATACAAATATATCCATATCCATCCAGTTGGTTACTGTATGAAATATCAACACCTTAATATTGCTCATTACCTCCAGCCTGGTTTGATCATCATTTACGTCAGGAACCTGACTCTTGCTGACTCTGTGCAGCTCTCTGGGGTCTGCTTGGCTGCTTAGGGTAGGAAAGCAAGTGATAAGTAGTAAAACCTCAGACAAGTAGGTTAGAGTTTTCAAAAACATTGTTTCCCTATATCCTATTATGTTTTCTTCCTTCCTCTTGAAGTAGATTAACAAACCAAAGCTTTTGAACTTCCAGGGGGTGGCTATTTGTCATGTTAGACCATTTTTGAGGTCCCCCCCCATTCCAAAATCACACGGAAGAGCCTTCCCCTTGCCCACCCCAAATACCTTTTAAAGCATGAAAAAGTTTAAATCTTTTTAAAGATCCTGAAGGCTGACTTCTAGTTTGATAGGGTCTTTCTTATGCTGCGGCAGCCTCAGCTGAAAGGGTTGGCTATTTATTTGAGGATGAAGCCTGGTCCACTGAACTTGTCCCTGATGTGTGGTGTGGCAGCCAGAGGTTCAGCATCCCTTCTCCCTGCAGCTCAGCATCCTGGTGCGGGCAGCCAGTACATCTTCCTTCCAGTGTGCCTTTCTTCTGCCCATACCTTTAGACTGCAAGGCAGTGTCTGACAGCTCCCTGTGCAGATCACTTGGAATTAATGTGGCATTTCTCAGTGAAGCCTTCAAAAAGGCACCCGGTGTGGCACAAGCTCTGAGGGTCTCACCAGAAACAAAGGAATCATTGAGTTTTAAAGCAAAGAAATTATAAAACAACTGTTTTGTAGGGGAAAACCAAAACCAACTAACCAGCAACAGAAAGCAAAAGATGGAGAGATTGTTGCCAAGGGAAGGAAGAAGAATTGGGAAGTGAGCTGGGACTTCATTATTGCTGTGTTTGTCCCTCGAGGAATCACAGATATGACTGATAGACTGGAGTACAAAGATGAAGAGAGATTTAGCCACTCTTAGCAAAAGATGGGAGTATGTTGCAAAAATTGAAGTGGATTCAGGCGCTCTGTGCTTGTGGCTGCTGACCGGTTGGCGGCAGGCTGCAGAGGTGGCAGGCTGCCTTTGCACTGCCAGCGTGAGCTGAGTAGTGTTTATAGGATCAAGCTTCCTATCTCAAATGCTGATTTGTTGCTGGTTTTAACAGTTCAGAGATGTGCTCAAATCCTTCCCTCTGCAGAAAGCCCCCTGGTGCTCGCTGCAGAGCTCCGTGCATGTCCTGTTCCGCAGCCTGGGGCAGCAGCTGGATGTTCCCCATCCTTCCCCCGTTTGCTGCTCCCTTTTATGTCTGTATTCTGTTCTTTTTAGGACTGCTGCCAAACTGCACTCTGTCACCTGGGACAAAGTGATGGAAGAGATGAAACACAGCAGGACCGTGTTATTTTGTGTGCAAAGTACGTTACTCACTGTGCTTTTCTTTCATTATTAGGAAATAGTGGACTGGTTCAATGCCATCCGCGCAGCACGGTTTCATTACTTACAAGTGGCATTCCCTGGAGCCAGTGACGTTGATGTGAGTTTTCCTGCAGTTTGGTGGTTGTTGGGTTTTTTCCCCTTGCTCTTTTTTAGCATTTTGTAAGCCAGCTGGAAAGCCCGGGGCATACTATATCCTTCGGAGGGTTTTACAATTACTGGGTTGAAATTCTTGCAGTGGGATGTTGAGCCCACGTGCAGCACCTGTTAGAACATCCATCCAGCCTTGGAAACCATGTGCATGTGCATGCACACGTGCTCAACCCTCAGGATGTGAGTCGTGCTTATGAGTAACTCCAGCGCTGTCACATGTGCAGAAGCCATGAGCATCTTTCTCGAAAGTTGTTGCTGTAATATTAAAAGCTGAAACAAAGGCTGCAGGGTAGAAAAGATGAAGGCAAAAGAATGCCAGTGCTGCACCCAGGTCTCCGGGATGAGTTGTTGTGTGCAGGTCAGTGCAGCCTGTCTTATATCTCTGTCTTGTATTTTCCGGGAGCTGGAGCTGCTAATTGCATTACCTTTTGCTAATATAATACTAGAGGCATTATTAATGCAAGCTGAGAGTAAGTGTTCTGGGTTGCAGTTGCACTCCCATTGGTGTGTAATGTCACTGGTTGTTGCTGATTACTCTAGAGCTAACCAGGAATAGTTGTATACTTTCCGTAATCATTTCTACCCGTCTCCATATTCTCTCCTTCTCCTAAAATTGGCTGGCACATCTGAATCAAATTGCCCCCCAAAATCCCTCGGACCATAATAGAGTTGGTGAGTGTTCATATGCTCACCCCTCTGGCAGTTTCAGTGGGAGATAGGTTACTGATGTTTTTACTTATTATCCCCTTCTCATCGGTTACTCTTTGGAGTAAGCAGAGGACTGTAATGTTTAGCAGTGTTCAAGTTTTGACTTTGGAATACTGAACATCCCTTCACAGCATTCAGCTTGGGGAGACCTCTGTGGAGACTGGGTTATGTACATGAGGTAGCTCCAGCCGGGGTGTTGCCATCATTAGCATTTGATTTATGAGTCCTTTACCCTGTCAGAGAGATGAAAAGGCATTAAATTTAAACAGGAGCCTGGTTGAATGCAGTAGAGAGATATAAATTGCTCGCACCACCCTAAGGATGCCCAGGCTGCCTCTGCAGCTCCTAGGGGGCGAGGGTCTCTGATGGATGCTTTGAGGACCCATCTGCAGGGTGGGAAACCTCTCTGAGCTGAGGGTGATGAGCGCCATGCTTAGCAAAATGTCCTCATCCCTGTCCCAGAAGCCACACATAAGGGCTATGGATGCTGCAGAGCCCTTCACTGCCTATAATGAAGTGTCCAATACAAAGATGCTCCCAGCTGCTGCGGAACAGCTTTGTGTTTTTGGATGGATGTATTTTGGGGTGTCTTTGCCTTACAAGCACACACCTGCTCAACCTGTTTAAATAAAAGGCAGGAGCAGGGGCGGGGAGGCACGTGGCCAGGTTCATCGGCCCTGTTTTTGGTGAGACTCATCATCTTTCAAGAGGCTTTTAGAGGCATCTGCTAAGATCTCACAGCTACTGCCTTGTCTTCACTAAGCAGCGTTAAAAATATCCCTGGTGCTGGTAGCTGTTGTCAGCAGTATCTGCAGGAATGGGGCGTGCACAGGCAGTGTGTGCTAATGGGGTTTTACAGGGAAATTATACTTCAGGGCTTGTGTGAGGAGCATCCACTGCATCTGCTGGAGGAGATGTATCACCAGAGCTGACCCATGAAGTGGGATTTGGCCTGGGGGCTTCTTCTGGAGGCTGCTGGACAAGTGCTCCAAGATGCGTCGTGTTTCTGCACCCCTCTCTTCTGAGCACTTTGGAGGGGTGGGACTGAAGTGTTCAGCCAGAGCTGATGCGTGAGCTTGGTGGGGGCTTTCCTTTCAGTGACCCCCTGTCCACGCAGGGACCCTCAGCTTCCTCTATCTGACACTGCTCTCTTTTCTCTCCTCTTCGTCTGCCTCCAGCTGGTGCCAAAGCTTTCTAGAAACTACCTGAAGGAAGGCTACATGGAGAAAACGGGGCCAAAGGTAGGGTATAAAACATTTCTGCAGCCCCTCTAAGCATGAATCCTGCTCTTTATGGGGCTGAGAAGGGTGCTGTGGTGGGACAAAGACACCCTTGTTGGAGAGGCGAAGCCTTAATGCCATGAATGTGTTAATAACACTTGGGAGCAAACATTTACAAAACCCAAACCCACTTCACGAACCAACCACACCATCCCCATCTTCCCTTTCACTGCCTGTTCCTGCAGCCCCACCTGCTATAGCTGGCCAAGTGGCTTGTGGTGGCTCATGGTAGCCCAGAAGCTGCCTGTTCTCAACTTTCCCAGCCCATTGGGTTCCAAGTACATTGATGCTCCTGGTAAGAGAGGAGCTGTGCTGCTTTGGTATGTAATTGGCATTTTTTGACCCTTCAGCAAACAGAGGGATTCAAGAAGCGATGGTTCACCATGGATGACCGACGGCTCATGTATTTCAAAGATCCCCTGGTAAGATGAAGGTTCCTGGGCTGGGAATTGGCAATAATAATAAATGATACCAATCTGCAGTGAAGCTCAGGCACTGAGCCATCATTGCTACGTGGATCTGCCTGGTATCAACATGCAGTAGCTCTGTGCACAGATATTCACCAAAACCACTTTGGAAACCCTGTGCACCAGCTGCAGATTTTTCTGGATTTTGGATCCCGGGTGCTGGTCCTGCATTGTGAGTGCCCTGGGAGGAGCTGGAGCAGAGCTTTGTGGGGTGGCTGGTGCTTTCAGTGTTTGGCTGCTGCACTTCGCTGATGGAGCTTCTAGATGGTGCAGGGTGCTTGAGAAGCAGAGCTCCCCTTCCCCATTAAGCCTGCCTGACTGCTCTGCTGTATCCTAGGATGCCTTTGCTAGAGGGGAAGTTTTTATTGGGAGCAAGGAAAACAGCTACAAGGTCCTGGAAGGGCTCCCACCATCCACGCAGGGAAACCACTGGCAGCACGGGATAACCATTGTCACCCCGGATCGCAAATTCCTCTTTGCCTGCGAGACAGAGGATGACCAGCTGGAGTGGATTACAACCTTTCAGAAAGTTATAAGCCGGCCGATGCTGCCTCAGGAATACGCAGGTGTGTTTGCTGGCAGGGCTGAAATCAGCCTTGACCCCCCCTTTATTCCCCATGTGTTAGAGGATGGGAGGAATGGAGGGGGGTCGGGGATACAGCGGCATTGCTCCCTCCTCTGCGGTGCGAGCAGGGCAGCCCTTCCTCACCAGGGGAGGATGCAAAGTCTGCCCAACCACAGGAGTTCTGGGAGGAGGAGGATGGTATCCTATCCTCCTTCATCCCTTCAGACATGATGGCCATGGTGCTATATGGCTGATCAGTCACCCAGTTACAAGGATAATTGAAGCCAAGGAGGATCAGCAAGACAAGGGCCATCCACAGGGAGGGCTTGCAATTGTGCTATGGCCACCTGCCAGCATTGGTCCTGCTTTTAACTTTATTTTCTCTGTTTTCTTTTCTTTCAGTGGAAGCCCATTTCAAACATAAACCTTAGCTGGGACTGGCTGGGCAGACCTGAGGAGTGAGCTTCTGTTTACAACACAACGTGGTTTTATTTGAAATGTTAAAAATAATGAATAATAATAACAGTAATAATAATAATACTACTACTTCCCTTTCCCCTCATCATTCACTTGATCATGTTGGAAACCAAGAAGGGTGGCAGTGAAATGTCGGATGCAGATCCAACCCAAAATTCAGCTCTGTGGCCGCTCCATGGGATGCGCTGCTGGGACAAGTAGTCCTGTGACCCCAGCACCCCCCACCTGCTGAAAGGGGTGTCCCACCAGCTTCAGCGGGACAGCAAAGACTGTTGGTGGCACATCTGGGGGGACATGGGTCTTTTCCCCTTGAGCTGGTTCCTGGGGGCTGGAGCTGAGCATGCCCACAGCCCCAGCTCTCACCAGCCTCCTTTGTAGGGGAGGAGCAGGGGCATCCTCATGGGATGTGAAGCAGCAACCTGGAAACACCCAGAGTGGTGATGTGCAAAATGGCTGAACCTCCTGATGGCATCAGGGTAAATGATAAGTAAATTACCTCACCTGGGGAGCGGTGGTGATGCTGGACCCAGGCTCAGGGTCAAACAGGATTTAGAAATAGAGGAAATTGGCATCATTGTCCTTGTCACCTGCTTAATGAAGGAGGAGTGGTGCCCAGTGTGGACAGAGCAGTGCTGTCTCCAGCCCTGCAAGGGGGACACCAAGCCACAAGATGATGCCAGGGAAGAAAAGCTTCTTGGGTTAGGGCCCATGCTCTGCTCCCCGTGCCATCCCCATTCCATGGCTGGGGGGCGTCACACCATGGGGAGTGGGAGGTGCTGAGCTGTAGGTGCAGTTTTGCTGACAGTCTGTCCCAGCCCAGTCCCACAGGCCAGTCCCTCCAGCCCACAGCACGCTGCTACTCCAGGCTGGTGATGGCACTTTTTCTTTCAGTAATTCCCTCACTTACTTTTCTCTTTTTTTTTGTTGTTGTTGTCAATTTTTGTTCATTTTGTCAGTTTCCCTGCCAAAAAACAACCCAATATAAGCTGCTTTGAAGTGACGTTTCAGCGCGGTGTTGAGCACTGTAATTCCTGTGGTCAGGGCGGGCGGGCTGGGACCTGCACACCATGTGCTGGATTTTTACCCCCAAATGAAAAGTACCAGCCCCAGACACGGACCTGTCCCACGCGTTCCTTAGGTTGGTGTGTGTAAATGAGAGCATCTCATCGGCTGTATGCATTCGTTCTGTCACTGGTAAGACACCTGTGGTACTAAATGTCATTTGAACCAATAAATTATTATGTCAGAGCTGTAGCCTTGTGGTGCTGGGGCAGGGGGAGGGAGGTGGGCTTAAAATACAAGTAGGTGATGGTGCTGGCAGCACGCTGGGGACATGGGACACCCACAAATCTGCCTCATCCCCCAGGAGGAGCTGCTGCATCACACGTGTGTCTGTTTATACCAGGTAAATCTATTTCATGTAAATTACACAATTTATGTATATAGCGTGTTACACGTATTTGTGTATGTGTGTGTAATATGGAGTGTATATTGTATATGTTTTATATATAATATTGATAGTATTTATGCACACACATGCACAAAAGATATATATTAGGAATATAGAGATGAATAGTTAATAAATAGCAGTAGAATAACTAAATAGGATAATAGGAATATAGAAATAAATTTATTTCCATATTCTTAGGAATACAGAATTAGTTTAGCAACTAAACTGTGGATAGTAGAGATAGCATAATGTATAATACACTTTTATGTATATGAGCTGAATATAGTTCATATGCACATGTGCATGTATATACGTAGCCATCATTAGACGTGATTTACGAACGTATAAGCTAAATGTATTTTATACATACATCTGTATGTGTATAGACATGTTTATAACTGCAGGAAGTGTTTATATATTATATACATGTGTATGCTTTTCAAATAGGTATAAAATATATGACTTAATTATAAAGAGAAATATATTGCATATAAACATACATACATCCACCTGCATTTGTGTATGCGTAACTATACAGAGATATTTAATTTGTATTAAAAGTCACAGTCTGACAGTTACTTAAAACCCCAGGCCTATCAGGAGCAGGGAGGGGAGAGGCTGCGCTAGTTGAGTTTCTAGCTAGCTGTAAAGATTGTGTGTGTACACAATTAATCATTATTAATAATGGCATGGCATAGAACTTATTATTTAATTATAAATTATTATATATCCAAAAGACTGTTTATATGTTTGTATATATACATTTTACATGTGTGTGTGTATATATTTTAATACATATTTTCAACACACATGTATGTTCTGTACACACCACTGTAATTACTGCACCTGTATTTTGTCCCTAGAAGCTGCCTCTGGGCACACTGCAGGTACAGCCCGCACCCAGCAGCAGATGCACAGTGTGCTGTGGTGCTGTGGTTTGGGCTGGGTGCACACAAGGTTCAAATCAGGGTGTTGCTGGCAGAGCCAAGGTGATGAACACTGAACTCACCTCAAGCTGAATCTGCAGGACACAGGAGGGGGCTGTTGTTGAGGGACACTATTAAATGGCTATAGCACCATCCCAAGTAGGGGTTCTTTCCTGCGCTTGCTGCAAATCAAAGCAATCCACATCGGTTCTAGACATTACAACACCCAACTAAAACTAAAGCAATGCCTTTACTGCACAGAGGTAAAGATGCAACACTAGGGTCTCAACCCACAGTTACATGTAGAGGGGAAAAAACAGCAAGAAAAGTAACATCTCTACTCAAAAACGCTTAGAAAGCAGCAATATCGCCCATCCTGGTATAAAGTGTTTATTTGAGACTTCACAATTAACACAAAGTCTTCCTTTCAATGCCTTTTCTTTTTCATACAGTCAATAGATTTGTATTAATCCCTCCCCCATGCATGATTGCTGTTTATTAATCTAAGCTTTTTTTATTTTCATCATGAAAAAATAAAGCGTTTCCCCACCATTTCATCTGTTCATGGTACCACTGCCATCTGCTGTGCTGCATTAAAGAGGAAAAGATGTAGAATGGCTATGCCTACCACTGGGGCTGAAATTACTCCATTATTTATTGATCTATCCTTTTCTTACAGAAAGTGTTAAATGAATGAATCACCCAAGAAAAATAAATATATCATAAAGAACCAAAGGCTCTGCAGTATCCCTTTTCTTAACATACAGCTGCAGTTCAAACACATACGTTGCTGGTGACAAATCAATTAATTCATTCACTACAGTGCTGTCACCTTTACATATGGTTGTGAATTTAGGCTGAGAAAGAATCTGTTCCAAAGGAGCCATGAGCCAGAGGTGGCATCTAGATGCCAAATTTTTGTACCTAGGCAAAAGAGATCCTCATGGAAGCCAATTACCTACATTCATCAGCTTTTACTAAAGGGCAATTCAGTCTTGTGCTTTTCAGGTAAATACACACATGGGGTCAGCCAGAATGAAAGGCAGTATGAATGGTGTGCATGTTACTCACAGCGGTGGGCGTGAGTTCTTGGTATCAATGTCTCTTGGTTGTGCATCTCAAATTACGCTCCTTGGCTCATCTCACAGTACTTTTGGCACCAGCCTCACACATAAATTACTCAGTTGGTCACCTTGCCTTTTGAGATCATCCTTGGAGATGACAGAAGTCAAGGAGGCTTTCTCGTAACAAAGACGGTAGGGGATAGGCCATGAAATACAAGACCCATATTTATGCTTTATTGAATTACTGTGCAAAAGGGAATACTGCATCAGAAACCATAGAAGACTATATTTTAATCAGTCACCAGCTGCTGTTACCAGAAACCTGCTAACAATTGCTCCAATTGGTTCATTTGGCTACTTTTTGTTGTTTTCTTTTTTTTCTTTTTTTACATAAATAATATAGACCAAACATTATAAACATTTCAGCAACCATTTCTAAAAGAAGACCAAAGGAGCCCTTTTAGGTGCCAAGAAACAACTGCAGGATTCAAATTCCAAAACTGTCTTTGGAGTCATCGAATCATCAGAGTGACACGGCACCCAATGACAACATCATTCAGTCGAGCTCAATCGGACTGCTATCTTCCTGACCATCTTCTGTGTCATCATCTTCTCCAGTTCCCATCAGACTGTTTAAAAGATTTCCTAGAATAAAATGCAGGACAGTAAAATTTGCTAGTTTTGCATTCTCATCTCAAAATCTTTTTAACTGTTTTCCTTCTGTCCTGCTAGGGTGCAGACTGCAATAATAAATTGAAAAAGAAGGGGGGGATTTTGAAATAAAGGCATCTCAGCAAGACATTAGTATTCCTACACTGGTTTCCATTAAGAATTTATTGATTTGGGAAGCTGTATTTTGATACTGATCCTTCTCTAAGAGTACACTGGAAAAAAACACCGAATTCTCATACTTACTTACTATAGCTACACCCCAACAGGAGGAAAAAGAAATACAACCAAATGAGGGAAGTCACACCTCCAGTAGTAAAACTCTCAGAAAGCAGCAATGGTCTGCATTACGCTATAAAGAACTTGTTTGAAAGTCAGAGACATTTATGAGTTCTCCCTGTTTTATCAAATTTAAAAATGCTTGAATTGCTGAAACGCCACTATTTACATATGGGATCTATGATGATGTCTTTCATCAAACTTTGGGTATCAGTGAACTGGCATTTACAGGTAAAGCCTCAAGTCAGTTTACAAACAGAGAAGCTTAGTTCTCAAGGAAAAACGTTTGATTTTACAAAAGTAATCCAGTTCAATTTGCTCATATTTTATTCAAGATCAATTCAGCCCTCATTTCCTGTTCATTTCTTGTAGAAGGGGCAGTATAAATTTCAGAACTTCTACTCTGAGAACATTCTTTTCACATCAGCACTGGTTAGATCTCTACCAAAGTCCCAGATTCAACTTAAGAAAAATGAGCCACTTAAGTCTGAGGAAATTAAGCTTTAACACAAATGAGATTTTCCTCTGCATTTGGAATTTGTACCATAATGTCAAAAATTAAACATGAGAGTCTTTTACATGCTTCTCTCCTTCTCAAAGATAAAGAAAAGCCTGGTGGTATCCATAAACAACTGTCAGTATAACCTTACCTAGTAACCCTCCGTAGGATGATGTCTGCTTGGGCGGAACACCAAAGAAAAGCTGTCCTATTCTATCTAGGTACTGAAACGACACAAGATGAAGAACAATGTCAGCTACCTTGTTTACAGGTTAAAATACTATGGGCAGCAGTCATGCCACACAAGCTAGATCACTGAATCCTACCTACAAGACACAAACAGCTGTTACTTAACTAATTCTGAGGTGAGACCTTCTTTACAGCTACGAGTAACTCACCTCATTATACATGGGATCTCTCTTCAGTGAAGGTTGATACTGTTCACATAATACTGTAAATACTGTTAGTTTTCCTCTAGAAATGAAACAACAAAATATGTAATCTCAGTAACAACTTGAAAGGAAACCAAGAGCAACATGAGAAAAATCAGACTGTACCCATCAACTGCCAGTAACAGAAACCAGATGAAGTTTAGCAGTGGCTGAACAAAGGGAGGACCCTTTTCTATTGAAGGATGTTTCTGTGTGTATGTCGTAAAAACAACTGATGCGCTGGTCTTATTTTTTAAGCAGAGAAATCTGCAAAAGGAAACAGAACACAGCAAGTTAAAAGGCAGAAAAGTAGCTTCACATGAAGAAATTAAAAGGGAAGCCAAATGCTCAACAAGCTCCATTTCATTTGTGCACAGAAACCATCTCAGGCTGAAACCGATGGCAAAAACTAACTGGTAGAGACACACATCTTTGGCAATGGCTTGGCTATCAACCGAGGAAGGGGGAAATCACTACTAGAATACATTGTGGAATAAGCAGGTTCGGAGGCAGAACTGATTAACAGAATTACTTTAAACAAGACCTAAGCAGGTTGCATACAAGGCAGTTACTAAAAGAGGGCATCAATTAAATAAAAATGTGGAAAAACTAGCCACTGTGTGATTCAAATTAAATATACCACATTTACTAGTCCAGAGTTACTGTGCTGAGGTAAAACCCGATTAAAGACCTCCCTCCTGGCCCCATCTCCTCCCGAAAACATCTCCTTTCAGTATGTATCTGCCAGTGTCCAATTACTCTTGCCATTCTACTAGCACTAGCTCAAAATACCATGGCATCAAGACCGCTAGTAAGTTTGACACACAAAGTCTCACAATAAAGCTACACTTTGAGTTCCCAAGCCATTTGTCACCAGTGAATAGATCAATTTCCCAAACTTTGTTCCCAGATCTTTGTTCAGGTCAAGTT